AAAGAAAAAAAACCCGATACGAGTACGCAAAATAACTAAATAAAGTGCTCAATACAGTAGAGCAGACCTAGTTAAACCTAGAGAGCCAGACAAACCTACCAAGGTTTCACCTAAGCGGATCGTCAGGGAACGCCTAATATATATATATATATATATATATATATATGTATATGTGTGTGTGTGTGTGTGTGTGTGTGTGTGTGTGTGTGTGTGTGCAATACTTATTGGAAAGCGCTCAGTATCAGTGATAGAGCCAATATTCTTAGTTGTAAAGATGTGAGCTGTTTGACGATCGTACGAGCGTGAAATCCAGGGTCACAATCTTACATCAATACAACTAAGTATATATATATATATATATATATATATATATATATATATATATATATATATATATATATGTATTCCTGTTGTGTCAGAAATAATGATAAAATAATGGCTATTTGAAAAGCATGAAAGAAAAGCCAGTCATATTCAAATTGTTCAATACAAATACTGCAGCATAGATTCTGAACTTTTATGCTTTCATTATTGAAAATTTATTGCTAAAAGATATTTGCAAACTAAGTAGACAAAAGATTGTAAGAATAAATCGAAATAAAAAATGGAATGACAAATATTCCTGCCAGATTCTGGGTTTTGCAAGAGATCGGTATGGAATAGACGGTGACAATCACAAAGAGAATGACAATAACGTTTGTTCCATTCAGTACTCACAAAGAATTAATCAATCCCGACATTGGCGCTGTTTGGTGTCCTCTCGTCGTTTGCAAAAGGATTATGGACGGTGATAATTCCGTTATTCATTGCTTTAAAGATTTTTTTTCGTAGTATTTATTTATTTGTTCGTGTTTATGTGTTCCACGTCTTACATAATACGGGATGTGCGATGTTGTCTCCTTGATAACGGCTTGGGATGAGTAATCGGAGAGTTGAGTTCCAATTCCAGTCGGTTTCGTCATATCTTAGGAAAATATATGAATCCATCTCTTCTCTCCCCCAACTATGGATTGAATAGCAGGAAAGATTGGATGACATATTCTTGGGTGGCAACCAGTTTACCGCAGAAAGAAACAGCAACATACTGCGGGAAAAATCTGCCAAGTCAGTCATGAATCGAACGAAACGTGCGTGTATCACGTCTGGCAATTAACTCACACATTTGTATGAGGTTGTGTTGAAAATTTCTCGGTTCCATTAAGTAGTTGACAGTTTTACTGTTGAAATGTGTTAATAAAATAAGTTTCGAAGTTACTGAATACAGTATGTTTTAAGGGACTATTGCTGAGGCGATCTTGACTGAAATTGAATCGTTTCTTGGGTTTGTATTGTTCAAAAACATCTGGATAATCGCCCTCTTATGGGATTATCAATAGTTTTAGAAATCTATCATAGTTTTGTTTTAGAGGAATTTTATCTGCACTGCAGGTCGAACTACTTGAAGGAAAGAGAACTAGCTCTTGTAGCTCTCAGTAAATTTGTTTCTTTTGCTACTTCTCCCAGACCATGTTCTGTCATCCATTTGCTTAATTCCGCTAGGTATGTGACGCGTTGCTTTTCCTTGTCTTTCTTTCTATTCGTCCTGAGAGTATCAGATTCTCCAAGCCCTCCTTTATCATTACGTGGTCCAGAAATTTCAGCTGCCTCTTCCTGATGTTAAGTAAACTACCGAATTCAAATGATGAAAATCAGTTTATCAAGCTAGTCCTAATGGGTGGATCCAGTTTACATATCATTTTTCACCAGTAAAACGACTTGGAGTACTATGCACAGCACATTACTAAATTGATGTTTACACGTGGCATAAAATGAATATCTGCTGAAATACTTTGATCTAGATTCATTTTTAATGTAAATTGTGTCCTTTATCTTTTTTTAGGTTTTAATTAAAATTTTATAAACAAATTCCCAAATAACCCAGTAATCTCCTTTTATGATTAATATTAAGTTAATATTGACAGTTTAAAATATATATATATATATATATATATATTTATTTTGCATATAGAATAAAAACCCCGTCTATTTTAAATGCAAAATATATTTTCAAATTAAAGAAACTCTTCTCTTGTCTTGTCTTTTAACGGCATTCACCCGGGGTGGGTTGCGCCGGCTCCAATTGAATTAACCGCATCGCGCGTCAAGGCCATCCACCCACGTCGATCGGGAGCAGAATCAACGGCATGATCGAGCCATTCGCGATTCCAGCGTCGGACCCCGAAAACGCGAGGACCGGACATGATTTCCATATCTACTTTGACCGTTGCGAGCCACGTCTTGAGTTGACCACCTTGGCTCTTTCTCCAACCAGTGGGTCCGTTTGGCGCCACCAGTTTACCGACGAAATCATCACCAGGCCGCCGCAGCACGTGGCCGAACCACCGGAGTCTCCTCTTAAGCAGAGTTTCTTCCAGGCCCAGAATGTTGCATTTGGCGCGGATGGACGAGTTGGGGATCCGGTCGGAGAGGCGCACACGAAGGATACGGCAGAGGCAGTAGTGATCGAAAATATAAGCTTATGAAGATCCTCCCTGCGCAGTGGCCAGGTCTCACAACCATAGAGAAGAATTGTTCTGACCATTGCTACGTAGTTTCGCAACTTCGTGGAGCGTCTTATCTCCTGGCGAGACCAAAGTCTTTTTTGAAGATGGACAAATGCAGCGCTAGCCAAATTTATACGGGTGGTGATTTCGTCCTTCGCTTGACCAGTGGCTGTAAAATTGGCGCCAATATATTTGAAGCTTTCGACCTCTTCCGTAGCTTCACCATCGAGGGTTACAGCCACTCGATCAGGTAGGGGGTAGTTCGCAGAGAGAATTTTTGTCTTGGAAGCGTTAATTTTCATCCCCACCATTTTGGCCATGCGACTGACCTCGTCGAGTGCATGCTGAACCTCCGCGTAGGACTCGCTAAGGATTGCAACGTCGTCGGCATAATCGAGATCGGTGATGGAGCAGTCGTGGCCAACTCTGACACCCGCGAGGCCAACCATACTATTCTCCAGGATCCAGTCAATAATGTAGTTGAACAGGATAGGGGAGAGCACACATCCTTGGCGGACGCCCGTTCGGACGACGAAGGAATCGGATTCTTCCCCGTAGCACCTCACTCTAGTTCGAGTGTCAGCGTAGTAGGCCTTGATGAGGTCGAGAAGCTTGGACGGGAAAGAAACTATAATCCTCGTATTATATGGACTGTGTCAACATTAAGTTAACCAGATATTTTTAATAAAATTTAAATTACGTAAAGGCTAATCTACACTCAGCACCTGAAGATTACGTTGTGTATGAAAATCTGAGTCGTGCTACCAGTGAGGGATAATATGTATATTTATTCATATATAAGAGCTCTGTTGAATTAAATCAAACACAGTTTTATTCACACCAACACTCCATTTATATTCACTTTTCTACCCGAAAATTCAACCGAAATAATTTTTCAGGACCATGTATAAATATTGTCATCCACAGAGAGAGTATGTCACTGTTTCAAGGCTCATCAGTGTGGCTAAAGAGACAGAGAAAAACGCAAATGCTTTTCGTTATAATGTAGATTTTTAAAAATATATATTATACACTCTTTTCCATATTTTTGCTAAACGTGTGTCTGATCTCGTGGCCTTCATCAGGCAAAGAGTGGTTATTTCCACATATAAAAAGGAATTAATTTCCCTTATGTTTTTCGATGTTTAAACATTGTCTTTTGTGTGTAGTAATAAACCAGATTTTCCTTGAACTTGTGGCGAAAGTATTCTTCTGCTTAAGCGGTAATAAAACAATTTACACTTTTCTCTCATATAAATTATAAACTCACTCATATATATATATATATATATATATATATATATATATATATATATATATATATATATATATATATATATACATGTGCGTGTGTGTGCAATTATTTTAAAGTGCTTCAAGTTCTTGTGCAAATGCTGCGACAAAACCTGAACGTGTTTTGCTGAAAAGTTACTTTCTTTTCAGCAGCCTGTTTTACTGTAGGCCTCCCCAAATCTGAATCGATATTTGATCTTACACCAAAACATCGATCAGACGAAGAGTGATGCCATGATAAGAAGCTACTCGTTTCCTTAGAAGAGACGAACACAACTGCAATAAAGAAACTTGGAATTGAGACTGGTTGAAAAAGACTCAACTTTTGCTGAAAGCTTTGGACGAAATGGAAATTTTATAATTAGCAAAAACAACCATAAAAAGACACATCCAATCTCAATCAATTCATTTCTTTCTTTCTTTCTTTCTTTCTACTTTGCTCATATTCATCTGTGTATCTGCTCGTATCTATCTATCTATCTATCTATCTATCTATATATATATATATATATATAGGTGAACATTGAAGTCAAGCCTCAGAGGCGATAGGCTGTTTCATGCTAGACGGAATCGTCAGGCCGCCGCAATCGTCAGGTAGGTTATATATATATATATATGGATGGATGTATATATATATATATATATATATATATATATATATATAATTTTTCTTCATATATATATATATATATATATATATATATATTTAATTTCTTCTATTTATCTTAATCTCTTGATACCTATCAAGCTATCTCTATTTAGATCTGTATATCTAAAAGTATATATTATCATTCTATCTCTCCTCCATCAGACTTTCTCTCTGTGTATATTATGATGCCGTACATAATGTAATAGGCTCATCTCCCAATGACATGCATATATTGCCATGTAGTAGACGTTGGTATATTTCTCGACTTTCTTTTCTTCTTTCAATTTTTATCAATATTTTTCCGTTTCTCTTTGACCTGAAATATTTCATGTTTATTTCTTTCATTAATAAATTTCGTTTAATCTTCTTATTTTTTTTTATGATCTTCGTAAATTTTTAGAATATATATATATATATATATATATATATTCTCAATTTCTATTGACATCTTTCTTTTTTTCTCTTTCGTGGTTCTATTTCATTTCTTTCACTGTTCTCCATTTTTAATTTCTCCGTTGTGTAATTCTTTGTTTTCTTTTATTTATTTGCATGTTCTCTTTCATTTCTTTCTCAATTCTCCTTCATTTTCTTTCCCTGTTCTCTTTCCTTCACTTACCATTTTCTTTCATTTGTTTCTCTGTTGTCTTTCATTTCGTTTCCCCTACTCATTCATTTCATTCTCTGTTCTTTTTTCTTTCTTTCATTATTCATTTTCATTTCATTCTCTCTTCTCTTTCATTTCTTCCTCTGTGCACTTTCATTTCTTTCACTGTTCTATTTCATTTCTTTCTATGACCTTCTCCATTTCTTTGTCTTTTTTGCTCTATTTCTATCTCCGTTCTTCTTCCTTTGTTTGTCTGTTCTCTTTCATTTCTTTCTCTGTCACCTTTCATTTTTTCAATGACTTCTTTCATTTCTTTCCCTATTATCTTTCATTCCTTTCTCCGTTGTCCTTCATTTATTTCCCTGTTTTCTTTCATTTATTTGCCTGTTCTCTTTCATTTCTGTCACTGTTTTCTTTCTTTTCTTTCTCTGTTGTCCTTCATTTCTTTCGTTGTTGTATTTCATTTCTTCCTCTATTCTCTGTTCTCATTCATTTCCTTAGCTGCTTTCTTTCATTTGCTTCTCAGTTTGCTGTCATTTCATTTTCTGTACTTTTTCATTTCTTTCATTGCTCTCTTTAATTTCATTCTCTGTTCTCTTACATTTCTTTCTGTTTCATTTCATCCCCTGGCCTCTTTCATTTCTTTCCCAGTTCTCTTTCATTTCTTTCAATGTTCTATTTTATTTCTTATGTATTTTTATTCATTCCTATCTCAGGTTTTATTTCTTTCTTTATCCGTTCACTCCCATTTCATTCTCTGTTCTCTTTCATTTGTTTCTCTTTTCTTTTTCTTTTCTTTCTCCATTCTCTTTCTTTTCTTTCTCTGTTGTCTTTCATTTCTTTATCTGTTCTTTCTCATTTCTTTCTCCGTTGTCTTTCATGTAATTCTATGTTTTCTTTCATTTATTTGCTTGTTTTCTTTTATTTCTTTCACAGTTGTATTTCATTTCTTTTTCGGTTCTCCTTCATTTTTTTCCATATTTTCTTTTCTTTCCTTTGTTGCTTTCTTTCATTTGTTTCTCTGTAGTCATTCATTTCGTTCTCTTTTATTTCATTCTCTGTTCTTTCTCGTTTCTTTCATTGTATTCTTTCTCTGTACTCTTTCATTTCTCTGTTCTCTTTCATTTCATTCCCTAGTTTATTTCGTTTCTTTCACTGATTATTTTTATTTCATTCCCTGTTCTCTTTTATTTCATTCTCTGTGCGCTTACTTACTCTATTCTTTTTCAGTTCTTTCTCTGTTTTATTTAATTTCTTTCTCTGAATTTCATTTCTTTCTCTGTTCTCTTTCATTTCATTCCCCGTTCTCTTTCGTTTCCTTCTCCGTCGTCTTTCACTTAATTCTCTATATTCTTTCATTTATTTCATTTTGTTCTCTTTCATTTTTCTCTCTGTTTTCTTTCGTTTCTTTCACTGTTCTCTTTCATTTTTCTCCCTGTGCTCTTTCATTTATTTACTCTTTGATTTTCATTTATTTCTTTATTCTCTTTCATTTCTTTCTCCTTTTTGTTTCACTTATTATCTTTCATTTCATTCTCTGTTCCTTTTCATTTTATTCATTTTGCTCTTTCCTTTATTTCTCTGTTCTTCGTTTCATTCTCTGGTTTCTTTCATTTCTTACCCTGTTTTCTTCCATTTCTTTCTCTGTTTTCTTCCATTTGTTTTTCTGTACTCTTTCACTTCTGCTCGTTTATTTCTCTTCCTTTTCCCTTCAATTTCTCAGCAGTTTTTCATTTCATTTTCTGTTCGTTTTCATTTTTTTTCTTTTCTCTCATTTCTTTCTCTCATCTCTTTCATTTCTTTCTCACTTCTCTCTCCTTTCTTTCTCACTTCTCTTTCCATTCTCTATAATTTCTTTCTTCTTTTTCAGTTTTTCCTGCTTCCTTTCACTTCTTTGTTGTCTATCATTTCTTTCTCTGTTCTTTCATTTTTCTACCTGTTATCTTTCATATTTTTCACTGTTTCTTTCATTTCTTTCACTGTTCTCTTTTTTTTTCTTGTTCTCCTTCATTTCTCTCTCTATGTTGTCGTTCATTTAATCTTTTATCTTTTTAATCTTTAATCATTTACTTTTTTTTAATTTATATTTTCCGTCGTTTTCTTTCTTGTTTTCTCTTTCGTTTACTTTTTATCTTTGCATAATTTCCTTGAACTTTTTTAGAATTTTAAATATATATATATATATATATATATATATATATATATATCTGTTTCATAGTTGTTCTTTTTATACATTTCTTTCTATTTTTTCTTCTTCTGTTGTCTTTCATTTCTTACTTTCTCTCACTGTTGTCTTACATTTCTTTTTCCATTGTTGTTTCTTTCTTTTTTCTTTCTATACTTTTTTCAGTTCTTGCTTCATTCTCGTTTATTTATCTCACTGTTATTTCGTTCATTCTTTCTTTCAGTTTTTCTTTCTGTTTTAAAATAAAAAGTGAGAGCAATATTTGATTATCTTCACATTTTCGTTGTTAGTAATGGCGGCTTCTCTTGTCGTGTGAAAGTATGAATTCTGTGTTGTATGGCCTTAATAATTAAAAGAAAAGAAAAATAAATATTAGAAAGCTGAACTAGCCTACTCACTAACTACATATTCACTTAGTGAATGTCTGTTGTTACTATGACATCGGAATATTTTATTATCAAAAAGGCTAAATGTAGTTGTGAGACCGATATCTATATAAAGTCTCTTCGTCTTTCAAATTAAATAATATTTATTGTTTTTGTTCATTTCTTTCACCTTCTTTAAACATTTTCTTTCTTTCTTTTTTAGTTCATTTTTACATTTATTGATTCTTTCTTTTCATTTTCGTTCTGATTAATTTCACATGGACATTTACAACTCTGAATTCTAATTTTTCGTTCGTCTATTCGTATAAGCCAGAGTAAATCTTTAATCTAATTAATTCGATCTCGGTTTTTTTTACTGCTCGTTCATTCAGAGTTTAATTTGATACTTCAAGAAAGAAGGTGAATATAATTCAGTTCGCACTCAAAGGATGTAAAAAAGAAACAGCATATTTGGCTTCTCTCCATTAGCAGGATACAATTTTCGTGTAGATATCCGAGTTTCATGTCACGTCAAAAAATATTATTTTGATATCTTCACTAATTTCTGCAGACATTCAGCACAATTTCATGATTTGGAATCAAATGAAAGATTTTCTTTTTTGATAGTCATGCAAGCTGTTTGGTGTCAGTACAAAGTTGAAAGAAAAACACAATATCACAATATAATTGTTACATTAAATATACAGTGGGAGGAAGAAAAGATAAAAAAAACACACGTAGATTCACCTGGAGATAAACTAGATTCTCAGGCGTATATTTATTCCATACGGGTCGTTGTGTCAAACGTTACGTAAAACTAGTAAAAACAATGAAATTGAACTTTTATTTCAGACAGCACAGTATTTTTGCTATTTCTCTGTGGTGCGTTATATCGGACATTAAGTTCTGAAACGTTGTATCTTAGAAATGATTAAAGATATCTTACTGGAATTCTCTGAGTTTTTTATAACACTATTGGACTCTACTTTGAGCAATAAGAATCTATAATTACTCTCACAACTTAGAAGAATCGTGATGAAATCGATCATAAACGGAAATGTCATGTTCATCATTAATTAACCATAGCTGAGGATCGGAAGCTCATGAAGGTTAGCAATTAAGTTCAAATACATATATATATTCTTCCAGTATCATTTCCCAACTTATTCAAGATGATCTTCTTCCTCTAACCTAACTTTCTGTCCTATAGTAACAAGATGCCTCACACGTTTCATGTTCGATTTCATTTTCAAGTCTTTTTTCACTGCGCTTTAAACTGCCATAGCTGAAAACCCCTCTCTCACGTGTCAAATGTCTATGAATTGAGTTGGATCTTTTCTAATTGATCCCTTTAGCTCTAAGTTGAAATGATATCCATCTTCCTGTTGTGACCTTCTTATTTAGTTTTATATTTTATTGTTCCCTCTTTTTAAAACTTACTCACCGTTCTCTTAATGCTTCTTGAATGGACTTTAAAGATGGAAGCCAGAATATGTTAGTACCATTACTGAAGGCCTGAGTGATCTTCTTCCTCAGACTATTGAAAGACAGTGGGGCTAATACAAAACGATTTTAACCTGTTATCTTCTAGCTGAATAGCTCAAAGGTTGTTTTTCAGTAATTCTTACGATAAATAGTGCCAAGATGGCTAAACATCTTATGTAAAAGCCTGGAAAAAGAAACTCAATTAGTCTTTTTTTCTACGCCAAGTTTGATTTTCTGACAAATTAAATATATATATATATATATAATTATATATATATCTATATATATATATATATATATATATATATATATATATATATGGTCACTTAGAGAAATAGATAGTTGAAGACAAAATATAATGCAAGACTCAGTATAGATCAGTACTACTTGTCTCACTGGCCTCACTTGTGCAAGATTAAACAAGATCTTCAAAATAGCTGTTTTGCTAGAATGTTCATTTCATCATATAAAGAACAGTAAATGTTTTGGCGAGGGAGTCTTGGAAGATGTTTGATATTCTAAGCTTGTCGGAACCTCTGAGCAGATCATGAATTTTTCGTAAAACGAAATAACATAACACGAAGCTAAGCGTTCTAAACCAGACAATATATTTGGAAGAACTTGTCTTATTTGCCAATGATTTGGCGATACGTATTTCCTACAAGATGATAGACGCTGTCATGAAGTAACATTACAAGTCGATATTCTTGTTCAGTGAATGGGAATGTTCTGTTTCTTCATATGAGTCAATCAATCATTGTAACCTTGTATTAAAAGAGTTTATCTAGATTCCTTCGAGTCGCTGTAAAGAATTATATTTGAATCTCCCCGATCCTTTTTCCAGTAGGTTCCGTCTAGTCTGAAAGGCTGAATTCTCGTCTGAATCTTGTCACAATTTATTTCATTTTGATATGTCGTAATAAATCGATTCCTCGACGTCAGTAATTATATTGTTCCAAAATATACTTTGCTCTTTGGGGAGAAAAGATAAATATGCAAACATAAAAATTCCTATTGCAGCTTTTTACCGACTGGACAAATAACCCCATGTTTTGCCTCTATTCTCGTTCGTGTCGCTGCACGCAAAAAGTGGGAAAGGCTGGCCGTACATCTCCAACGGAAAGAAAAGGTGAAATTAACGCCACGCAGAGAAATGAAAACATGAATGTTGTTTTTCAGTATATCTGGTTGTTCACGGTATAGAAGGGAGGTAGGTAAGTAATATTTAGGACAAATCCTGTTATTTCTCTCATAAGAGCTTAACGGGTCAGATTTCCCTTCACCTGTCGTGAAGACTAACTCTCTTCTACCATCCTCTGCTTTTTTCTACGTTACGATGGCTGGCAACTTGTCTATGGGTAGCATCGGAACTCTCTTTTCACGGACGGCATGTACCAACCAACGGGCGATTTCGGAACCATCATTCTAATTGTGATATAAGCCTGTGAGCAAAACTTTCTAAGTTCTGGTTTACTTTTCCACCTGCCCTCCAAAGGGCTTCATTTATAAATAAAGTGGGTAGCCACTTTGAAGATCTTACATCGTAAATATTACTGCTGGTCATAAAAATATCACAATAAAATCAATTGGGCCCATTTAACTTTGTGTGCGTTTTAATGATTGTTGGGTTCTATTATATCACAAAGACAATTGTTAAAAGCTGACGAATATTTCGTTTTGCAAGTTTATCTAGAAATTATTAGAACTTATGGCTTTCGAAAGTCTCACTACAAATGTCTGATTGTACGAGTAATAAAGTGCTGAGTTAACTCAAAAGATACATCTAAGACTTCTTGACTCAAAAGTTGTGGGTTCAAAACCTGGCCACAGCAGAGGTGAACAAAAACTTAGAGAGATGAGTAGCTAAAAGGAAATGTCTGAAACTGAGATATTCAGAAAAGGCATGGCACGTGGATCAAGAAAAATAAAGAAAGGGTTCAGTTCGAAATTCCCACCTATATCATGTGAAGAAGGCCGGGAACATACAACAGCCGTATTAAAGAGGGGGACAGCAGTCTGAACAATGTAAGTAGTGTAATTAATCCAAGACACTGTTTGAAACTTTAGCATCAATCTAACACACACCAAGATAACGTAAAAGTTTGGCATTTTCTTTTTCTTTTCTTACCAAAAACGAATTAATCTCTCAGACAGATATAACTGTTTTTTTTAAAGAAGCGTTTATTTGAACAGGAGTAGTATTTTCAGCTGTATACTGAAATCTGTACCAATTCCAAATTAAAATGCGACATATATTTCTCCTGCAAAGACATTAGAAAAGACGGTGTTTATATCTCCTTAGAAAAGGCTTAAGAAGAATTTGAATAACACTAAGACTGCCATGTTATTTTCAAATACTGAGATGAACTGTAATCATATGTTTTATTTTTACTTTTTCTCATCGATTGTTGCCGTGTTTTTTATTACAACATATTTATCTTATCCGTTAAGAAATATAAACACTTGAAGATAACTAGTTTTCTAAAAAGAATGAAAATATTTCCATTCTGAATATCAAAACAAAATATTTAACACGAAAACCAATTTCCTTAATGTATATCTTTATTTTTTTATGCGCTTCAGGTGCAGATATAAAGGTCATTTGTTTTTGTTGAATCTAACTTCAAGCATCTGACATGTTCTCACATAGATTATATTCAACACAAGTCCTCAGTTGGTCATCACCACTATTCCATTATTCTCGTTATGGATTATTTCCAATTTGAAACCTCCTCAAATAATTTTGAATAGTCGGTCAAAATTTAGTAAATAGTATCTACACGGATTGCTTTCATTGATTTTGTTCCAAGCAAAACTTATACAATAGACAAACTATCACATTCAACGGTTTTCTCTCCAGCTTGATCTTCCTTCTTTTTTTTTTTCATTATACTTTTATTCTTCTATTTGCTGGGGGCGATCAAGCTTCGTGTCCTTTTTAACACTAAGCTTTGTCTTTTTGAAATATCTCCTGAGCTCTGACCCTTTTGAAAGTTATCTGATCAGAATATGCATAAATTTCATTTTGGTATTTGATTTTCTATTTTCTTTGTTTAAGGCCAATCAAAAAGAGAAAATAAAAATGATTTTATATGTTTGGTCACTTGATATACGAGTTTATATCGGAAATCTCTCGAAATGCCCAAGCAGTGAATGTATCCGTTGATTGGAAACACGCTCACATACAGCTAACGACCATTGGTACTGAATCTACTGAGTTCTTCTCAATCGATCCATCTCCATGTATTCAATTATTATTATTAAGTTTTGGAATGTTGCATTGGAACAGCTCTGCACTATTTGTGATAGCTGAGAAGTTCAAGCAGCGTGACTGCATAACAATGAAATTCGGAAAATATTCTGTGAAGAATCTCGAAATAATTATTGTATTATATGTGGGTTGAACGCTAAATCTAAGGTCGATAGTGTGTCGTTTCAAGTGTTTCAGCAAGGAATCAAGCACTAGAATGATATCAGAAATTGTGAACAAAACTCTTCTATAACGACTATGTATGAAAAATTGATCATTTCTCTTACATGACTGGAATCAGTTGTGTTGTTTCACAGAAAATCCTAGTCCAAGTAAATTTCCGATACCCTCTTGATATATATATATATATATATATATATATATATATATATATATATATATATATATATTTTAGAATATAGTTTGAAGGTATGGGTAACGTGCTCAATATCAGGTATAGAGCGTATGTAAATATAAAAGTGGATACTGACGTGAACACCCAGCGGCGACTATCTGGTAATGCTTAAACGCAATCATCAGGCCATGTACGTTGTGTTTTGGCTCGAATATTTATATATGCTAGTCAATGATTCATTAAATGTAGGTCTATAATTCTTACGGTTATTTGGATGGCGGTAATGATTATGTTCCGAATTATTATAAAGACTAGTGAGTGGAAATAATTGTGGGTCCTGATGTAGTTTCTTCTGGCTATTTTATAGTATTGCTTATTAACATTTTTATTCATTATTTGTCATTTCGTGTTTTATTGGTTGTTATTACTACGTTTAATTGTGTTTATGTATACATTCCTAGTTTGCTAATCTCTTTACTTATTTTTTCCTCTGAATTGATTTATTTTACTTATTAATTTGTTCCTATTTTTTTTTAATTTTTAATTGGATTTTTATTTAGTTTTCTATTTTTAAGAAACGTAGTAAAAATTGTTTTCGTTCCTGCATTTTGAGATGAGTTTTGATCGTTTATTTAGTAGTTTGTGTTGGTCTGGGAAAGTAATTATAGATAAATTTTACCGCCATGCAGAATTTACTGTTTTTTTATTTATTGTTGGAGGCGAATGTTGTTTTCCTTATTTTCCATGATATTTTGGGTCTGATTTGGCTTTTTGTTTTTAATTTCCCATATATGTTTCGAAAGGAAGTGAAGATATCATCTTTTATATCCAATGTAATTACCCTTTGATTATGGAATATGTTGTCTCGGATGAAACAATAGATAATAACAAATATTATTATTATTATTATTATTATTATTATTATTATTATTATTTAGGGATGTATGAGTTTGGCAAGGGTGCTCAAAATTAATGTCCTGAGAACCTTAGCTTAATTTCTGAATTGGTTTCTAGCGATAATATTTCACAGAAATTGCCAGCTACTGATTTATAATGCATTGAATAGGCGCAATAATTTCACCTTTTCTGGAAACAACAAAACCTAGACGTGTGAAATCAATTTAAATGAAAGTAATTTCGGTGTAAGAGGCTGAGTTATTTACCCTGCCATTTATAACTTCTTCAGACAGACTTACATTTCAAAGGAAACAGATTAACAATGTTAATAGATCGCTTGTGAAAGATGATTTATAATTGGGTTATCATGTTTTCATTTTGAGAAATTGTCCTAGCTCTTGGCGGGAAACATATAATCAATAGAAAACCTTCTGTATCAGAATTCCATTTTATGTAAGTTTGAGCAAAATTCTTCGAAGACGGAGAAAACTAATTTGCTTAAACCATTTATAAGTGAATGGTGTAAATAAATTAGGGCAAGCTTTTTGTTTTGCGGATATACCATTGATAATGGAGCCTCGTAAAGCACTAAAGTATCCGCCAGGGGTCAATCTGTGACTGAACTTCAGTGCAGGGTCCATTTCGAAAGGACAGGCTTTGTTGAAATTGTTTCATGCGAACAGCACTTCTCTGTGGGTGCTGAGGTTGTCCTCTGCTGTCTCGCTGGTCATCAAGACACTTTTTTCCCCCAAATCGTTTTCCGATGAAAAAAAAAATATAAAATATATAACGGTTGCTAAGCTGTTAGTCTAACCACTTGAAACATAACAAATAAACAGAGATAAAGAAACTGTTTGTTTTCAGTTTTATAATGTGAAAAAGATGAATGCTTTTTCTTTAAAAAAATGAAAGAAAGTGTGAAAAGTTGAAAACTGATTGAAGAAAATAAATGTTTTTATCGCGACGCAAACAGGAAGACCTAAAAAGACGACTATTTATCGTGTGAAAAATAATCACTTTTGCTCAGTAGACGAAAGCCAGACGCCCCGTTTGCACCGAAAAGAACAAAAAAGAAAAAAAAACAACAATAAGTCTGCAACAACAACAATAACTAATAAGCAAAATGAACGGCGAAAATGAAAAGAGTATGCAAAAAAAAAAGAAAATGTCACCATCCCACGTATATTATGAGAAAATGGCGTCACTTATAATTCCTGCTTAAATTTGTCTTCAATTTTTATATTGATATTTTGCCAAAACGTACTTTTTGCTTTCAGATAGTTTGCTTTTTTTCTTTCAAGTTGTTTTTGTTTTCTTAATCCTTTTCTTTTTCTTCTTTTCTCTTCACTTTTCTTATTTTTGTCATTATCGCTTCTTTCTTTCTTTCTTTCTTTTTTTCTTTCTTTCTTTTGTAGTTTTCTTTTTTATTCGCTGCCTCATCATTTTACAGTATTTCCTTTATTTCTACATTTTTAATCGCTTTTGACACTTTTTCATTTTCATTTTTTACTCTTTCCTTTTTTGCTTTGTTTCTTTTATAGACATTATCCTGAACTTTTCTTTTCCCATTACTTCCTTTTCTTTTTCCCATTGAATATTCTTCTCTCTCACTCATTCATTTTCCCTTTCTTTCTCTTCTCAGTTTTAATCGTTTATTTAGTTCCTGCATTATTTTCGCCATTTTTTCCATGAAAAATCGTTTTTTGTACACATTTTGAATATCGACATATCTGATTTCTAGCATATATGATGACATGACATTTAAAAAGATGCAGCTAGGAGAGTGAAAATATAAGATTTAAAAAATTATTTAAAAATAAAGCAAACCTGTTTTTATGTTTGCTAATAATTTTTTTTTTACTTAGAAATGTGCTTTATACATTGTGAGAAGCCAGAAGATAACTAACGAGGATCGTCATTAAAATACAAATGTAAATACAAAAGGGCTGGAAGATCATCTCCCTGGATTCCACTTTAACAAGGAGGACGCACACAAACCAGAGGATGACCTAGAAAATGAATGCAGGTATTTTTTTAGTATTGAAAAATGTATAATTTTTTCAGTTCTTGCAAGTGTGAAGGCAACTGTTTCTCCGTACCAACCGGTTTAAAGAGAAGTAAAGTACTATCAAATCATGGGATATCTTTGTCCGATCCAGATGTATCGTTGTTCATGCCAAATTTAAGGAGATCTGAAGACACCGTAATAAAGAGAAAACGTTGAGTGCAACACGAGATTCTGCCAACATGACTTAACATCAATTTATATAGAAAACAATCGTCATTTCTGTTTGATTTTTGGAATGAAGAATTATCATTATTTACACTATTTACTTGCAGACTGTGGTCCTCATCTTCGTTTTGATACGCTCATATCATTTTAACTTCTTCCAGTGGGAATGTTTGATGGTTTTCCACGGTGTCATTTCTGGTGCAATAGACGAAAAAGATGCCTAAAATTGTTCTGTAGCATCTAATCAATACAATAAATGCCAATGACAATATCAGTGTGTCACACATTTTCGATTAAAGGGGCACAACTCTCAATAGCTCATTTCCGTTTTCTATATAATAAATATCAGTGTGACACTTTTTTCAACTTTACTCCCCGAGGCTGTAGCCCAACATAGCATACCATTTTGGAATCAAGCCGACTCCATGAGCAAATTGAAAACATTCTGGTTTGGATTCGGACCTGCAATTCTGAAATTATGGATTCTCAAGTTTTCATTACTGCGATTGTTTTCGACGATTTTTACGTGATTTCTTTATGAAGAATTTTTTTGTACTATAACAATTTTTATGACTTGGAAATAAATTTGGGTATGATCAAAATGAATTGCAAAATCCAGCGAAAGTCACCCAAATTAATTGGCAGCAGAAGTATCATTCAACTTTTGAAAGGTAAGCTTAACTATTAATGCAATACTTAAAGGCAGCGATCAATTTTGAGTTCCTCTGTAGTTCATTGTTGCCTATCGCATGTACTACTCCCCGCCTATTGGAATGAAAGTCTAATCAAGAGCCCTCCACAAGAGTTTAAATGCCGCTCGATAAGGTGGCTTTTAAGCTAGTTTCTAATAAATAGTAATAACATAGAACTGAAAATAAATCTGTTTTCTTTGTCGAGGTTTAAAGATGTCAGTTTACAAAAAAGAAAAAAATCATCAATTTCCACTTTTTATTTAGACACTATCATTTTCACCGACATTAAATTTTTCGTGTTCTTTTTCACAAATCATTTTCCCATTAATTAATCGATCCCACAAAGCAGAATGTTCAGTTGATTTTGCCGTTATTTTCTTTGACAAAATGCACATTGACATGTTTTTAGACTCATTAACTCATATTTTGTTATTAGCACAATGCAAATCTTTTAAATTAATTCCTCATTTCATAACGAACGAACTTGAAAGTCATTTAAGCTAAAAACATAAATTAACTAAACGTCTCTAATACAGTTACTGATTTAATCGACATAAAACAGATTTAATGATACATCCGTGGGAGAAGTTTGTAAAAATACATTTGATGATAATACACCCGAGATTTAAAACCTGAGCGAATATAAATGGGGAGGAGGCTTAATATTAAGGAATAATGTATTCTTGAATCTCGCTCATATTTTGTCGTTTCCTCAATCCTCCCAATACTCAGTCTTTTCTCTAACGTTTACTTTCTGTAAACCTTGCCTGCTAGTGGCGTTCCCGCTTTGTTTGGGGAGAAATGATTGGGAAAAATGTATATATATATATATTATAATATATAGATGTGATAGATAGATAGATAATGAACAGACTGTGATAGATAGATAGATAGATAGATAGATAGATAGATAGATAGATAGATAGATAGATAGATAATAAAAGGATCCAGACAGATATTGCAGCGAATATAAAACGAGACTTATTAAGATTAAACATGTGTTTTTGAAATGATGAATTCTACTATGTTCTGGTTTTTGGCTTTTATAGCTATATTTAAGGCCACATCTTCACCAAGTCTTACTACTGTGGCTTCTATAGCAAGTAGGTTTTTTACGGGATGGTGTTGCCAGTCCCACGCCTAATCAGTTCAGAGTTATCTTTTCCCCAGACTTAGTATCAACCGAAGCTAGGGAACTCAGTCTTACTTGCTATTTAATTGTTATTTAACTCGTAGCTGGGTGAGAAAAGATTTATGCATTTTCCACGAGTATTTGTGCGAAAGTGAACGCTATGAACTCGGTCGAAACTTGAACTAAATACGCCAATTCCACTTTTCGTGCCAATCGCCGTTAGAGTATGTATACATCTAATTATCAATTCTTAAGCGGTTAAATAAAGAGGACATCTTGTTTTTCATGAACGATCTCTTAACCTTTTATGCTCGTAAAATCTCTTATAGTTACGATGTGTTCGAATCTTATGTTTTCCTGCTAAAATCTATTTGCTAACTCTATGATTGATTGTCAAAGACTTGTAACATTTTTAAACTTTATTTTTTTTATTCTAACACGCTAAGTACATCACAAAGAATGTATAGATCACAAAGAACTGTTCGAACTGTTGAGAAATCTTGACAGATTTGCGAAGAATATAAAAAGTATCCAGACGTATATTCGGAGCAAAGCCGTCTGCAAGCAGACAGAAAATGAATGAAGTAAATATACAAAAATAGAAAGGCATCTATAACTGGGATATGTCTCGTCGCCTGATTTATTCGATCAATTCAATAGTTAGGGTGATTCTCAGAGAAGTCCTACCAGGCATTAACAATATAAGGAGATGAAAAAGTGTTGATAGAAGACACAGAAAGGAAACTATATGAACTCCTACAAAAGGTAGTGAAGGAAAAGAAGAAGAAAGGACGAAACTTCAATTGCAAGAAGACAGAATATCTGGTTGTCATAAAAAGAAACAGACCAACATGCAAATCACAAATTCAAGATACCAAAATCAAATTAATACAGGCATTAAAATATCTAGAAAGAAAATTGCGACACCGAAATCTGAAGGCGCCTTGGCATAACGAATGATGCCATCGAAAAGCTAAACAAAGGATTAGGAAGCCGGAAAATTTCGTTCGAATCAAAGAAAAGGGTAGTGTGAACTGTTATGTGGCAGTGAAAGCTGGGCAATTTCCTCACAGACGAAGAAGAAATTTGAGGCGATAGGAAATTTGGTTCTACAGAAGGATGCTGAGAATGCCATGGACAGAATATGTGAGCAATGAAGAAGTTTTAGAGAGAATGGAAACAAAAAAGACACTAACATTTGAATGAGAAAGAGAAAGTTGAAATTTCTTGGGTGCATAATGAGGAAAGAGGGCCTTGAAAATTTGACACTCACAGGACAGATTTTGAAGGCAGGATGGGGACAGAGGAAAACAGTGCATAAACTACCCAACAAGCTTGTGTAAATACAGTGCACAACAGTTTAGGAGAGATAGCAAAACCATACCATTTACTAGCAGCTACAAAGAATAGTAAATTGTGGAGAGACATAGTCACCACTGTCCTGTAGGTTCACTGCATACAAATGAAGTACACGGATCTATTTCATCCTTATAAACATTTGCAAGAGGTTTTGCTCTTTCAAACAAGTCCTATTTGTGCGTCTTACGATTTATGGCCTAATAGATAAAGAGTTCTGATAGAATTTTTGTGATTTCTTGCAAGTAAAATTGTGTAAAGTTATACGCCAGCTCTGAACTGAACTATCTGAACGTGACAGAAAGCAAAACAATATAATTGCATGTATAAGATGCAGAACTCTATCCTATGTTCCCGGCAGGCAATTCAATGAATCAGATTATAGAAGTCAGTCAGAAAATACGGTAACCGAAACCTTCTCGATCATTGTATAATACTACCAACGTTACGGCCACATCATGTTGAAACACTGGTTCCCGTACGATCAACGAAGTTAAAGAATATCGAGGCTGGTCAGTAACTAGATGAGTGACTGTTTGGGAAATACTTTAAGCTTGGATTGTCGGGTGGTGTAATGGATAATAACTCAGAATTGTTAACCAGAGAGCTAAGCCCCAATTTCAGTTGGGTACGTTTTATTCATTTTGATGCAAATATCCTTGGGAAATATATGAATCCATCTCTTCTCGTCCCAACTATGGGTTAAATAGTAAGACTTTTATCGCTAAAATCGTTATTAACTCCCAAAATAAAAATAAAATTATTTACAAAATATTTAGATTTTCGTATTAAATAACCCATCGGGGTGAGAAACCAACATATTGTCTCAGAAATCCCACATGACAAAATATTGACAAAATAGCCAAACATTCGATTTGTTTTGAAAGACTTTCTTGATGAAGCTGAGAATTTTGCTACCACTTTCCTCGTAATGTGGTTGTTTTCACTTTGACTTTTGAGAGACTGATTAGTAGTTTACTTGTTCTTTCTCAAGAAAAGACACCAAAGAAATATACGATCATTGGTCATATATCTTTGGATCAACTGTAGTTCAACATGAAGGGAATATACAACAGCTGAAACGTTATCAAGTCCTGGGTATGACGATAAATTACATCCGGCAGCAAGACATCTGACTCGGGGTTGTAGCACCTGTTAGGGTCCCAACTATGAACAAATAATGAAACCTTAAACAAAACCCAATGAAAGTATAAAAATATATTTTATTGTAAAAAAGCCAGCAATACCTTTTTATGTAAAAAAATTACTTATAATAAAA